ATATCCTGGGGTAGACTGCAATTGTGTATGGGGGCTTCTGTGAGAAGATGTCAGTATTACTCTAACTGGGGAAAATTTATTTCCATTTTGTTTTAATTTAGCCAGGAACAATAGAGCAGGCAGTGAACGAGATACGAGTGGTGGTAATGCCCACTGAAGACGGAGAAGTGCAGAGTGTATGGCTGCTGACTGAGTAAGTAGCAGATCTGATATGCAGTTTCAGTGCAGTTTCCCTCCTTTCATTCTTTCCAACAAAACCGCTGAAACTTAGGAGTGGTGGTTCAATTAACATCAGAAAAGCAAGCCAAACTGCATGCAGAAGATCTTGTGATCTGGCAGGAGAAGTCTTTACAAAGTTCTTGACTGCAACCTCTTTAAAAGAAGCACTTGACCATGCCACCCCCAGGCCTCCCAAAAGCAGGGTGAGATGTAAACAGAATGACCAGCCGCAGGAACCAGACTGACTTGTTTTGATCCAGGCAGTAAGGCAGGGGTGGGAAACCACAAGCCCAGAGGCCAAAGGTGACTCTGCAGGCCTCTCCATTTGACCCTCAGGACTCCCACAAGCCCCGCTCCTTGCATGTTCTTGCCTGGCTAGAATTTTTATTGACCTAAGATCTGGACAGGGGTAGAGTACACAGACCTATTGACTTTTGCAGAGCTGGAATGTATGGTTCATGGATAAGGATCATATCCATTGCTCTGCCCACTTTTGCCTCTGCCCTAGAAGGTGCAAGGGTGGCCCACAAGCAGTGATTTAGAAGAGGTACTGGTGAATTATCACTCCATACTTCTTGATTACAGCATTAGCTAACCATGCCACAAACCTTTTAGTGTGTATCTAACTGCAGTAAAAAACTGGGATGGGCATGCGTACGAATAATTTATTTCTTAAAAGCCCTCCTCACTTTATTCTTTGTGTTTAGTTTAGGGAGATAAACCATGCTAACTCATCTTTATTTATTTTTTCCCCTTTCCAGAATTGATCACTGGAACAATGAGAAGGAGCGCTTGGTTCTCATTACTGATTGGTCCCTTTTGATCTGTAAATATGACTTCATCAGCCTGCAGTGCCAGCAAGTGACCAGAATATCACTTAACGCCGTTGATACAATTTCCATTGGCGAATTTGAGTTTCCTCCTAAATCACTGAACAAGTGGGTTCTGATTCTGTTTCCTGTTCTTTGTTTTGTCTATCTTGTAAATCCCACTGCATTATAGAAGACTTGCAGTTGTTAGCTCCTATCTTCTAGTAGATATGGAATTTAGAAGCTTTTTGCTTAAGCTTCTAGCTTCCGGATCTCCATTTAAGCTCCTCATGCATCTTTAATTACTACAAAAACTATCAGGTTTCACAGTGTAACATATTTTTATATAGGTTGTGTGTCATTGCTTTCCCATAAAACAGTTTAAATGGTTGCAGGGCTCACAGAAACTGCATGACTGAAGGGGGCAGTGGCGTAGCATGGGGGGTGCAGGGGGGGCCGGCCGCACCGGGCGCAACATCTGGGGTTAGGGCAAATCCACAGGTTAGGGGGTGCAAATCCACGGGTTAGGGGGCGCAAATTACTTGCCTTGCCCCGGGTGCTGACAACCCACGCTACGCCACTGGAAGGGGGAGCTTGAGTGAGCATACAATCTTTCCTTTTTTCAGACGAGAAGGCTTTGGAATCAGAGTCCAGTGGGATAAACAAAGCCGTGCCTCCTTCATAAATAGATGGAACCCATGGTCCACCAATGTGCCATATGCCACCTTCACAGAACATCCGATGGCTGATGCTGATGAAAAGATTGCATCTCTTTGTCAAGTAAGGTGTTGCCATATGTGCGTTCTTTGGGTGACTTTAGTCAAGGTCAAGTTCTTTAGGTAGAAATCATAACAGAACTTTAATAAGGTACCACTGTACATAAGACAAACCAGCATCCTACACTTTGTCCTTTCTGAGGATTTGATGGAAGTGTCAAGGCTTGATTTGGAGGGGAAGGAGCTGGGATTGATTTTAGCTGCCTTAATATTGTTCTCCATTGCTACTGACCCCTTCTCCACTGGCCTTTTAAAAAATAACGTGTCTTCTCTTTGGTTTTCTTAGCACAAAATCCACACATCTAAGCATACATGCAAAGGACAGTTGTTTGATTTACTTCCAAAAAAGGTTGACAAGAGTTTGCAGTAGACAACTTGACGCCAACTGAAAGGTCTTGAGACTTTCAAATATATATATTTGTAGGTACATCTAAGGTTCTGGACCCCATCCTGTGAGGGTCATTCTTTTATACTGCAGATACTCTTGCTATGCCAACAAACTGCTCTTGAGAGTCCTCATGGTTTCAAAAGTAACTTGCCATATGGCACTGAGGGATGCTGTTTGAGAAACAAGCCCTATTCCAAAGTCCCATTGGCTGTGCTAATTGTATGGCTTCGTACATCCTTCTGTTATGGAGTTAGAATGAAACCTGTTATTTCATGGCACACTTCTGGTGAGGGGTTTAAAAAAGCGCTTGAGCCATTTGCAGTTAGTTGTTCACGGATACAGAAGTTCTGCAGTGTTGGTTTACTGACTATCGTGACTTCAGTATAATTAACAGGTATGGTTTGTGTTTGTTTTTTAAGTTGGAGAACTTCAAAACTCAACTGATCCAAGCTGTGAAGAAGGCCCACAAGGAGTGCCCTCTGCCTGGGAGGGCAAATGGAGTTCTGCTGCTGGAGCGCCCTCTTCTCATTGAGACCTATGTGGGATTAATGTCTTTCATCAATAATGAGGCCAAGTTGGGCTATTCAATGACAAGAGGCAAAATTGGATTTTAAAAGTCTGCTTCCCAAAAAAGGGTGGAGAGATCACTGCCTATCAACTCCCTGGAAGAAGAGAGAGAGAGAAGAACATATAGAGGAGTTTCCAGCTCATCTAACAAGTCTTGCTTGTCATAAAATTCATTTGGTGAGTCAAATAAATATTCCAGTGAAAAATTCTTTCCCTCCGTCAGTGTGTCTCAAGTAAGCCACCTGTATATTTTGAAGCATGGTTTCATTTTAACTCTTATCAGTAAACATATTACTTTTGCAAGTGTCATATTTACGTATGCTTGAGGTTCTGTTTTGCAGGGATAAAAGTTCTCTCTTCATTTAAAGAGAGCACCTGTCGGTTTGACAGGTTGTGAACTGTTTTGCTAATGTGATTATTTTGTCAGAACCCAAGTTATTTTCTGTTAATCTTTGGAGACTGCACATTTGAGTGGAAATGTGGTTGAGTGATGGTAGTTGCCTTTAATAACCTTCTATAGTCAGATGCAAATGCATCTAGCTACAGCTTCTCGTTGCAGTCAGATATCCAAAGAAGTCTCACTGTGAACACACAAGCAGCAGTGTCTGATTTTTATATTAACTTTTGCCACATGGGATCAAGTTTTTTTTTTTAATCTTACAAGAAAAGGGAATTTTTGATTAGCTTTCTACTTTGTTTTAATCTAAACTAGATGAATAGCACCAAAGTACCTCTCTAATAAGAGGGCTAGGAGAAAAGACTATGGACATTTCCTTAAAACTAGACAAACCTGTATCTCTTAAAAGTCAAGTATATAGAGACTTTCTGCTCTATTGCATGAATAATGTTCTGTGGCTGGGATCCAAAGGGCCATGTGAGGTTTGTGCATAAGGATTTATCGGAAACTCCTCATATCCTTCCTCCAAAAAGGTACCCCAAAAGGTCACGGATCTTTCCAGGTGGCATTCGATGAGATAAGATGCTGCCAGAAGGGAGGAAGTAGCAACCATGCCAGCCCTCCCAGTGCCTGCACATGAGCTTTGGCTCCCGGCCTGTGTCACCTTTGCTGGTTGAATCTTTCTATGCTTACTGAAAGTTTGTCACTAATATGCAAGAAATCCTGCTTTGGTACTGGTAATCCAATGTTTTATAGTGCTTATTTCTCTGAACCATTTTTTTCTCTCTCTGAAAATTTGTGTCAAAGTATATGGTGCTGGAATGGAACTGAATGCATGACCTTTTTTGTCTTAAGCAAGGTATATTTAAGCTTAATAAACTTGAAGTAAATGTGAATCTTAACTGTTATTTATTCCTTGTGGCAGGTTCAACAGTACTGGGTCAAAGGTCAGGCAGGGAGGAGCAAACAATTGTTTAATGGAAGGGAAACAAGTAAAACGTAAAACACACACACTTTTTACATTGGGTGCTGCCAGTGGCCTTGTTACACTATTTTGTATACCAAAGAAAAGCATTTTTAACCTAAAGCCCTTATCATAATTTATTAGACCAGCTAACATAATTACAAAATGGTGTGCAGGGTTGTGCTGACAGACCTCTTTGTCCAACTATATTATAAAAATAGGGGGGAGGGGCAGAATTGGCTGGTACTGTTCCCATTTGTGTCTGCATCTGGTAACAGCCTTAAGGTAGAGAGTGGGAGGGGGTAGCAGGCATTCAAATGAGGTTTTGTTAAGAGTAGTTCGTGTAGTACCAAGGCATACTGGGAAGAACAAACTGTCTGGAGATTTTAGGCTGTACGCTAAGTATTTTTAAAAAAATCAAAACTAATTGGGTAGCTTTACTTAACAAACAGGTAGATGTTGGCAGCTGCTAATATACAGACTGCCTAGCTGTTCTTCATTTCTGTTTTCCACTTACCAAGGAACTGCAGTGGAGGCATGGGGTGGAATCAAATGAGCACTGTGGTCCTTGCTCTTGATCCAAGCAGTTCTGTGTTTTCTAAGTCAACCAACAGGACAACAAGCAGCTCTTCTATCCAAATTGTTGCCTTGGTTATCATTGACTGCATCCGTAACAGTGAGTGGAAACCTCACTAAAGGACTGAAGGGGCAGGTGCCAGGGCCCTTGAAAACTGGCCAAATCCTGCTTCAGGCAGACTGCTTCTGCAAACATTTCAGGTGCTGAGTTTAACCTGAGAGCTTTCCGTTTATAAGTCAGCACTGCGCACCTTCATTCAATTTTTAGTTTACATAGGCAACAGCACATACTGTTCATACTCTGAAGAATGAAAAAAATGGCAGCCTTGTAGCCATGTTTTAATAATGCATTATGTAACAAAAATGTTTTATTTTATTTTCAAAATAAACTAAGTAGTTTACACACTAAGATATACATTATGTTGTAAATGGATCTAGAAGTTTAAAGCTAAAACACCTGTTTCCTCACTATTTCATAACATTTTATACTGCTCAACTGTTTAAAGTGCATCAAGGGCAAATACAAGCTTCCACACATCTATATACAGACTAAGCCAGCAGCAGTTTCTCTCCACCCTCCCCCTCCACTTGCAATGCTGGAGAACCAGTACACAAAACCAGGCTTCTGTTTTAACCCAGCTTAGCTTTGGGTGTAGCTATTTCACATCTTCCTCTTCTTTTTCTAAGTAACACATACAAAAATTGTCCTTACTCAGGAGAGCCAGAGAGTCCCCACTGGAGTGCCAGCACAGAGAAGTTACCTGGAAGTCACCTGTGGACATGGATCAAATTTTTTTACTGGCAAATACCCTTTAAGCACAAAATTTTGCTAGGCGATCATTATGATGCCCTTCCCTTCAGATAAAAGATAGTCGTAGGCATGCGTTAGCTCCAATTTCCAGAACTGCACTGTACACATAAATATTTAAGGACTACCGTATTTTTCGCCCCATAGGACGCACCGCCCCATAGGACGCACCTAATTTTTTTGGGGGGGGGGAATAAAGAAAAAAAAAATTTTCCCTCCTCAGGCACGGGGCAGGCGCAGGGGAAGCCCGAGCTTCCCCCGAACCCAGCCCCCAGAACAGCCTGCTATCCGCAAGCCTAGGGAGCCGCGCCAGTCTCCCCAGGCTTGCGGAGAGGTGCGCGAAGCCCGGGGGCGCTCTTCAGCGCGCACCAGGCTTCAGAATGCAAGCAGCTCTGTGCTACCCTCCAGAGCCCCGCGCAGCTTCGCGCCAGGATCCAGAGGGTGGCGCAGAGCTGCAGGAAGCCCTGGAGCCTAGGCAGCTCCGCGCCACCCTCCGGAGCCCCGCGCGGCTTCGCGCTGGGATCCGGAGGGTGGCGCAGAGCTGCAAGAAGCCCTGGAGCTCAGGCAGTTCCGCGCCACCCTGCGGAGCCCCGCGCGGCTTCGCGCTGGGATCCAGGGGGTGGTGCGGAGCTGCAAGAAGCCCTGGAGCGCAGGCAGCTCCGCGCCACCCTCCGCAGCCCCGTGCGGCTTCGCGCCAGGATGCGGGGGGTGGCGCGGAGCTGCAAGAAGCCCTGCAGCCCAGGCAGCTCCGCGCCACCCTCCGCAGCTTCGCGCCGGGATCCGGGGGGTGGCGCGGAGCTGCAAGAAGCCCTGGAGCGCAGGCAGCTCCGCACCACCCTCCGCAGCCCCGCGCGGCTTCGCGCCGGGATCCGGGGGGTGGCGCGGAGCTGCAAGAAGCCCTGGAGCCCAGGCAGCTCCGCGCCACCCTCCGCAGCTCCGCGCGGCTTCGCGCCGGGATCCGGGGGGTGGCGCGGAGCTGCAAGAAGCCCTGGAGCCCAGGCAGCTCCGCGCCACCCTCCGGAGCCGCGCGCGGCTTCGCGCCGGGATCGGGAGGGTGGCGCAGAGCTGCAGGAAGCCCTGGAGCCCAGGCAGCTCCGCGCCACCCTCCGGAGCCCCGCGCGGCTTCGCGCCGGGATCGGGAGGGTGGCGCTGAGCTGCAGGAAGCCCGGGAAAGCCTGCATTCGCCCCATAGGATGCACACACATTTCCCCTTCATTTTTGGAGGGGAAAAAGTGCGTCCTATAGGGCGAAAAATACGGTACTTTCTAAAATGTATTCAAACACATTGCTGCATGGAGCATTCCTGTTCATGGTCTCAACCACTCCATCTTGTTTCCGAGTCTTATTCCCTACCCTGACCAACAGCAGTCAACATCCTGTGGCCTCTTAAGCATGCTCAGAACTCGGGCTGTTCTGAGGTTCTTCAAATACATATACAGTGGTACCTCGGGTTACAGACGCTTCAGGTTACAGACTCCGCTAACCCAGAAATAGTACCTCGGGTTAAGAACTTTGCTTCAGGATGAGAACAGAAATCCTGCTCCGGCGGCGCAGCAGCAGGAGGTCCCATTAGCTAAAGTGGTGCTTCAGGTTAAGAACAGTTTCAGGTTAAGAACGGACCTCCGGAACGAATTACGTACTTAACCCGAGGTACCACTGTATTTGTTTTGCAAACTTTAGGTTACCTGAGACCTCCTGATATCTCCCCTTTTGGGTGTGGGTGGTGCTGATTTGGTCACAGCTTCAGAATTTGAAAGGATGATTAAGAGAATAATAATCCTATTAGATTTTAGGATTCCTTTGTGTTTTCTTCAGTATCTTAAAAGTGCAGAAAGCACTCTAGAATGTGTGCCATAGCAGCTGATGTAGGAAGATGACTCAGATCAAATCAGATTGACCATCTAGCCTAGTGTTGTCTGCTCTGACTAGCAATGACTCAGAGTCTCCATCAGACAGGTTTCATTCATCACCTGTTACTACTCCTTTTTACTGGAGATGTGAAGGATTGAACCTTGACATGGGCTGTATTCCACTGTTAGTCCTACTATGAGAAGGTTGACCAATTTTAATGGGCCTACTCAAGAGTAGAATACATACATACACACACACACACACACACACACACACACACACACACACCCTCATGTGCTTCATGACAGCAATGCAAGTATGATCTATATGGTTTTGGAGATTAGCACAAAGTTAATCTCCAGTTGTGACATCTGCCTCAGTTTTTTCACAGTCACCTGCAATGCATTTAATCAGCACCACATATTTAACAACCAAATGAGGGCCAACCAGCACACTGCTTTCAGTTCCTTTCTGATGTGGTAACATCAATCCAAGCATTGACCTAGAGTTGTTGAAATGATCACACACCTAGAGAATGTGAGCTGTCTACTAAAGACATGTTGAAAATAATCAGCCAGTTTAGAAAAAGGCTTTACAGTTTAAAGAAAATGTTAACGAAACCTGTTGTTGCTAATTGCCCAGTAGGTAACGGCAACCCATTCAAGGATATCCTTCTCCACTGTAGCGAAATTGCCCCTAGGCCTGACTTGTCTGCAGTATCAGTTTGGAGCTTCCTTACCTTCCACTGGTACCTGTACAGACACGCATCCTGCTGGGGACCAGAGGTACACTCTGCTGTTCCCAGTACAAATGGCAAGCCGGGACTGACGGGGATCCCACTGGAAAAGCTGGATGGGGCACAGCTGCTCCAGGATCACAAACAGCTTCATCTTTTGGACATCCCAGATCCAAATAGCGTTAGGAATATTATCTGTTAGACGCGAAACAGCAATTAAAGGTACAATACAGGCACACAATGCAGTCCCTGGTTCACAATTGTACTAATAATTGGTCTATGGAACTGAGGCAGACGGACCTCAGCAACCACCCACAGTGAAAACTTACTGCAAAGCCCATCATTGGTCCTCATTCACCCCTCTTGAGATACTAACCATTTCTGGTCGCCAGAAAGCAGTTATCTGAGCTAAAAGCTAACATTCCGACTCCAATTCTAGGATTTGCCCGGTCCACCGCAGGTTTGACATGATGCAAAGAAACTGGGACCTGGGCAATTTCATCTGGAAGGAGAGGAAAAATTAAAAGTCATAATGACACTTAAACCATAGATTGTTCTATTTTATGGATCCTGGAATAAACTTCCTTTTAATATTATGATGTACACAGAGTACTAGGGCTGCACCTCCTCCCACTGCTTCAATTCAGGGCCCAATCAGGTGCCCCAATGGGAGCCTTGCAAAGTGTTTAATTAGCTTTTAAAAACCAACATGCATCAGCAGAGGGAAGACACCTGCAGGCTGCCTGCCTAGATCTCCTCCTCCCCACTCCCCTACTTTCACTACAAGACTGTCCTCCACCACCCCCCTTGACAGCCCTGGATCACTCTGGGTAGATCCAATCCAACCTGGGGCTACCTCAACCCATTCTGGCGGAATTATGGGTTGACCTGAATTGGCTAGATTCAGTTCGGGATTGCATCAGGACTGGTACACAGCCCTACTGAAGTGATGCTTCAGGTTAAGAACAGTTTCAGGTTAAGAACGGACCTCCGGAACAAATTAAGTACTTAACCCGAGGTACCTGAAGTGGTACTTCAGGTTAAGAACAGTTTCAGGTTAAGAACGGACCTCTGGAACAAATTAAGTACTTAACCCGAGGTACCACTGTACCTATTAGTATCTTTTGGTATCTGTTGACAGGAATTAGAGAATCCAGTCCACAGCAGTTGCTCAACATCTGCCAAGTCAAGCAGGTATGCTGCTAAGACCTTACAGTCAATGGTCTCAAAAGCCATCAAGATCTCACAAGAACCATATGGTATCACTCTGGGTATCATGTATTTGAACCTTTTTCTGTGGCAAAACCAAATCCTTTTGGCACCTCCTTTCTCTAACCTGCTTCCACCTCAGCTGGCTGTTATAAGAAATACTGCTTGATATTTGTTTTTTCCCTCCTCCCCTTCTCTTTTTCCTTTTATGTCTTGCCTTTTACACAGTGCATCTAAGGGCACAGTACGTCTTGTATTTCACCATGGGGGTCTTTTGAGCAGCAGAAGAGAGTAAAAGTTATTTCAAATACTTTTAAGTAAGTAAACAAACAAACAAACAAGTGATAACACAGCTTTGTACACACGGTCCCTGCTTTGACTTACATTTGCTCTTTGTGCTGAAGAGAGAGCTTGCCATTTTCTTGGTAGGGGGGAAGGTAAGTTTCTCCACTTCCACTGCTGGTGATTTCTCCACCTCCTTATAGACAATCTGAAAAGAAAGGCAAGTCAGCCCTGCACCTCTTTATAGGAGACACGTTGCTAGATCATCCACACTCAGGCTGGAAAGCATGGCAGTAAGCAAGGTCTGAGTGGTGGGGGTGTCATCGGATGAAAACAGAAACTTAAGAATAAACAGGGTGTGGGGTTTGGGTGAGAAGTCTCTTTAATCCTTCTCAACTATTGTTCTAACACAAATCAGAACATAGATATCCAGACTGTGTGATGTAAAGAAATGCAAGAGAATTTGCAGAATAGAAGCTGCAACATGGGTGTCCACGTTTTAAAAACCCATTCCATGGGGGAGGAAGAGCAGGAAGAAGAACACATGAACCAAGGCAGTGCCTCCCATTTCTCCTAATCTCCGATCACAAAGCAATGCTCCAATCCCCTTGAATCTGCATGTTTTTGGTTCAAACAAACAAACAAACAAACAAAAAGAAAATAATTATCAAAGCTGTCCATACTAACCAGTACTTGGCTGGTTTCCATCAAGTGACTAAAAGGCTGAGATGTGAACAGGAAGTCCCGTGTTCAAATCTCACCTCAGCTGCATGTTTACTAAATGACCTTAAGCAAGCCACACAGCCTGAACACCCTCATTGTTGGGGACAATGATACTGACGACCCTTACAGAGTGTCTGTAAGGACTGCTGAAAACATTTTGAAGAATTATACAAATACCAAGTATTATCATTATAAGAGGTCTCAATGCCCCCCCCCCGTGTGTTTCCTTCAGCATGAGCCAACCACCCTTCTTTTTTCTACTTACTATCTTTGGGCTAGCAATGTTTACAGGATGCTCAAATTCTGTAATTTTCTTCCAAGTCACATGGTTCAGAATGCGCACCTGATTAAGAGAGGAGAAAGCCAAGGGTGAACACATACAGAGAGAGAGAGAGAGAGAGAGAGAACAAGTACTGTGGCACAAACTCAACTTTGGCAGGGCTTCAGAAACCTTACCTTTTCATCATAGCTGCCGATTGCCAAGAACTGGCTGCTGGGGCTCCAGGCAATAGATTTAATGCCTAGTGACCATTCATAAGCACAGTATGTAGACAGCAGACGCCCGTCGAGGGAGTACAGCAAAACTTTATACTGAAATAAAAGGTTTACATCTTAAGACTGGCAATGGCTTAAGAGTTTTAGTCTGTCCCATCTGAAGGTCTTGAAACAAGCAACCTCTGCCCCACTCCAAAAATGCATATACACAGCCTGCATTATCAATTATCCATACCCAAGTGCTGAGTGGTAAGCAGTAAAGAAAGCGAATCTTTTTTGCATTTTGCAAAACCCCGAAGTGTTTTCACATTCAGATTCCAGCAACAGAATGCATACGCTCAAAAAGTTGATGCAAAGGCCATCTCTTGGGACAGGAAGGGGCAACCTGTGACCCTCCAGATGTTTGGGACTCCAGATCCCATCAGGCAGCATAGCTAATGGTCAGGGGTGGTGGGCATTGCAGTCCAGCAACATCTGGAGGGCCACAGACTACCCATGCCTGTTCTCAAGAGGCCATTAGCTAGATAATGCTCTCGTTAAACCAACCTCTCAGCCACATTTCTATGTGGGCTATTAAGTCAATATGGATGCAGCTGCTCTGAAACGCAGCAATGGGTTTGGCAAAAGATCCCTCCACTGAGGCACTGGCAGTTTCCCCTCACCTCCAGGCAGCTGTCCCACACCGCCAACACGCAGCCGTTCGGCGCCCATTCTGTCCCAGCCAGGTCCTGTGTTTCAGTGTCAAAATGCTTCCAAACAGAAACAAAGGAAATAATTTCAGTGTGAGCTTAAGGTAGGGAAACAGCAGAAGTGAGAGACGCAGCTGCTTCCTATGCTTCTATAGTTGGTGGGTGGGGCCTGGTTGTCTCTGCTGTACTGCTACATCTTGAATCTGCCCATAGGTACGGTCCCCATTACGACAGCTGTTTCCATTTCTACTAATGTTTAAGAAGGCCTCTTACATAATTGTTATATGAGGTGCTGTAAAAAACAACAACACATTATTATTTTGACTTGGCTATTTGTGATATTTTTGGATGTGGAAAACAGCTTAGAAAATTTCTCTGAAATGTGAAGAGGTAAATGATTCTCCTTCATTTGCTGTTTTTAAACAGAGGCTGGATGGCCATCTGTCAGGGATTCTTTAGCTGTGATTCCTGCAATGCAGAAGATTGCACTAAATGACCCTTGCGGTCCCTTCCAACTCTGTAATTATGTGATTCTAAATACATTACCCAATTAGATAAATAGTTTATTTTCTTTTATGAATATTGGACCACATTTTGAGAAGAATGATCATGGGCACCCACAGGGTGTCCCGCTGCCCCATGCCTGAGAACTATAATCCCGATTCCCAGCTTTCATTTTAAAGAGAGAGAGAGAGTATATGAGCAACTTGTATCCATTAATGAATACAATCCTAACAGTGGAATTAAATGTCTCGCTCTTCCAATTGTTCTATCTGTGCAAGCATACACACCCTGCTTGCTCTTCTGGGGATATTTTCCTGACACTCCCTGAGCCAATTTCAGAGGGCGGGAAACCCCATTGTGCATGAGGAAGTGTTTGTACAGGCCTTAGGTTAATGGAACTGGCTAGGTGAATCTAGCTCTGAGGTTCTAGCATTTGTAGAGCCTGAGACATGAAGCAAAAATATTCAAGCACTATTCTTCTCACTTTTTGCAAGAAACTAGCCTGCTCCCCACCCCTACAATTCACTGTCTTGCTTTGCCTTCTCCCCTGGAATAAGTCCTCTGGATTCCCCAGGAGGATTGGCATTAACCATGGTTAAAGACAGCACCAGCTCTAGCCTATCGAAGAGAATTTGCAAATTGAACGAGGTGGAAGGAAAAGGCACAAACTGGTGGTCAACTCCTTATCGCTAAAGGAATTTGGGACATTACATCTGCACATGCTCTATAAGGTTACAAGGCACACAGGAGCCTAAAAGGGGAAGGTTAATAATGGGGGGAGGGTTACCCTCAGAAGCTGCCAATCACTGCATACAAAGAGGCTGATGTAGTCTTTGCAGTCCCTCCTCTCCGCCAAGGCCATGTACCGGCCATCCTTTGTGAATGCTATTCCTGCCAAACACACACACAAAAATGGCAGCACTTAGGAGAGGGGGAAATTGAGCAATTAATACCAGCCAAGGAATGGGCCAAACCCAAAGAAAAACAAAACCTGGACAGAAGAGGCTTTTTTTTTTTTTTTTTTTGAGGATGGATGAGTATGTCTTAAGGCATATTTGTTACTGCTTAGTTCCTGTTCTCTTGAGAGGCCTTGCATAACACACACGCTATACTTCCTCTGAAGTGGAGGTCTATTGCTTTCAATCGACTCTTCAAGGCCCTGAAGTACCACCATTGTAAACTCCACTACTGTCAAGACCAAGTAATGGAAAGCCTGTCTGCGTGTGAAAGGAAAACAGAACCCTGACCCAGGACCCTTGACTCTCAGCTGTCCTCATCTTATTTGGTAAGAAATGCTTTCTGAAAGGCCACACAAAACCACCAATGTTTAATTCAAAATACTGGTATGAACTACGTAAGGGGAGGAGCGGAAGTTAGTATTCTCACCTCTAGTTTAGACAAGAGATATTAGAATACTTCCCAATTTCTTTAGGCACATGATTTGAGTAACATTGATTGGACAAACTGGTGCTTATAAGTACAAAGAATCCATATCTTCTGGAGTGGAGAGAGCCAGTCTAAGAGCAGATTCACGAGACTGGTTATGCAATAACTATTATAATCATCAAAAACAAACTGGGTGCATGTAACCTGAGATCAGATATCAGGGAGATACTGTTTTTACAAGATAAAGCTACTTCTCAGTGCGTTCTTTAACCCTTCCACTTTTCTTGAACATTTCCACACATGCCATTCAAAGCATTTTCAGCCTCTCCTATGGTATTCATATTCATGTGTGTGCGAGAACATGGTAAATACAGAGAAGAAAGAGAAAAGAGTCATGTTTAATTAAATTGCCTGGGCTGCCCAATGGAATATGAACCTAAAATTAGCGCTGTTCCGTCAGGCCAAAGGGTCCAGCTTCCTGTTCTCAAAGTGGCCAACCAAATGCCCCCAGGAAGCCCACAAGCAGGACTCAAATGCAACAGCAGCTCTCCCGTCCTGCGATTCCCAGCTACCAGTATTCAGAGGCACACTGCCTCCAACAGCGGAGATAGAACATAATCATCAAGGGCTGTAGAAATGAACAACCACATTTTCCAAGCTGACACATGTATCCTCCATATTGGCATTGTTCTTCTACCCAAACACCTTTGTTGTTTTTTATGTATGGCAAGGCCTTCCCCACTTGTACCAGGGGGGAAAAACCTTTCTCTCTTCAGTGCTATATCCCCAAAGCACCAATTCATAGTGACATGTATGTTAGCAGTGGTTATTCAGTGGTAACAGAAAGATATACTACACATCCTCAGACATTCTGTCCTCCAGTCAGCCTGCACATGTTGGCTTAGCAATATCAGGCTGCTGTTCACAAGAACCACACCTGACTTCCTTCCTGCTTCAAAACTTTACCCCCACAGAAATCAGGAGTATACTTTTAAGCTCATCCCCCCATCCCCTACTAATTTGATTTTGTACTCTGGATTTTTATTCCACAGATCTCCACCAGTCGGACAGGTGCCTGCATCTGACAGAATACGGCTTGGGAACAAGAGGGGATTGGTCACTTGTGAACACCAACAACCACTGGGACAAACATACACTGCAGTTACCCTGCCATATCAGTACGCTTCCTGCTGGTAGATATATATCAGTTGAAGGGGATATGGGATATCCCCAGATCACGGCAATCTTCGCTATAATAATAATTTTTTAAAAAACCATTCCTGTTTTAGGTTAGCTCCACTTACCCTGCTGACAGGCCTTGGGATACTTGATATAAGACACAGATTTTGTACACAAGGACCAGACAGTTATCCGCAGCTGTTGGAAACAGAGAAAGAGACAGAGGAAGTATTTGTTTATCTTTGCAGATGAAATGCATGCAGGGGGAATGTTTTTTATACAGAACGCACTGAGCTTCATCTCCACACTCGACAATGGTGTGGTTTCCATTCTGCAGAAAGAATGAGAAACCAAACTAGGGGACAAAACATGAAGACATACGGCAGTTTTGCTTCAGATACCTTCTTCCCAGCACACAAGCAAAAGCAAACTTACATCCCTCAAGCATCTTAACTGGTGCTTCCCTAAAGTTCTAAAAAAGTGGTCCTCAGCTTGTACACACCTGTGACCCCAATCTTCAAATCCCAAGTGCATTATGGGGTGCACTTTTGTGTTTTCACTTTTGATTTATACTTAGTTATGGTAATAATGCATGTTGTTAATCCTAAAATGGCAATTCACAGAACAACACATGCAGTGTTAACTTAGCATTACTACTAAAGGAAAACCAGTAGTGCCATGTGGCAGGAGAAAGTGCTTGATCAGAAATATGTATCTTATTTTAAAAAAACAACTGGTGCCTTTATCCTACCACACTGCGGGACTTGTGGAAATGGATGAAATGAGTGACTTATTAAAATGCGTCCTGGTCTAGACACACATCTGGTTAACGCTCCTTAGACTAAGCTGGAAACCCACATGGCGGCAACAGCTTCATTGTGACCCACTTGGTGTGGCCTCACAACCCACCTGTGGGTCTGAAAGTGTGGAACGCACATACAGCTGGGCCTTAGTTTATTACAGGGTTTCCCAAACTCGGGTCCTCAGCTGGTTTTGGACTACAATTCCCATCATCCCTGATCGCTGGTCTTGCTGGCTAGGGATGATGGAAGTTGTAGTCCAAAATCAGCTGGAGACCCAAGTTTGGGAAATACTGGTTTACTATCTTGTGGCCCTAATCTCCCAGCTTTAAATTGGGGTGTGGTGGATAATGATGCTCTAAAGTGTCTGGGTGGACAAGCAGCAGGGAGTGGTGAAGATGCTGCCCCAATTTCAGTGGTGGTTGGCAGGGTGAGGTACAGTCAGAGTGGAAGGGCTGATTACCATCAAGGGCAAGGGCCTAGGTGTTTGGTCTCTTCCTTGTTCCAGCCCTCTCACTAGAAGGAATCAGTAGCATATACATTTTTTTATTATTTATTTTTTTACAATCAAGCCGTGTACAAATTTTATGAGATTAATAAATGAATTATTAGTGTTCAAGGGCACATTCAAGCCAGGCAAAGATACTCAACTGAGGCTGTAAGGCAGGGCCAGTGAAGGGTGTGGTGTGGGAAAAGGAGGTGTGGCTCAGAAAGAGGTGTGGCATAGTAGTTCCAAGGGCCAGACAGAGAGGCTTGGAGGGCCATATTTGGCCTTTGCGCTTTAGGTTCCTTATCCCTACTCTAGTCTTTCAATCCACATACTTTCAGTTGAGTTTGAAGTTTCCCTCAGCAATGCAACATTAATCACAAGGTAAAGTAAGGTACCCCTGCCCATACGGGCCAGTCTTGCCAGACTCTAGGGTTGTGCGCTCATCTCACTCTATAGGCCGGGAGCCAGCGCTGTCCGCAGACACTTCCGGGTCACGTGGTCAGCGTGACAAGCTGCATCTGGCGAGCCAGCGCAGCACACGGAACGCTGTTTACCTTCCCGCTGGTAAGGTCCCTATTTATCTACTTGCACCCAGGGGTGCTTTCGAACTGCTAGGTTGGCAGGCGCTGGGACCGAACGACGGGAGCGCACCCCGCCACGGGGATTCGAACCGCCGACCATGCGATCGGCAAGTCTTAGGCGCTGAGGTTTTACCCACAGCGCCACCCGCGTCCCAATCACAAGGTAGCAAGCAATAATTTTCTATGTCCATTAAAAAAAAAAGATTAATTCTGGGTCTGAGCCAGTGAAAGGCTTTTTAGACCATCGTCTCATCAACTTGTTTGCAGTCATGCCAAAATATAAATTTCAGACTACACTCCTGACACCAAATATTTCTTTCAAAACAGCAACACAATGCCTATCTCAGCAGAAGAGAGATTGCAGTGCACTGCCCAGTAAAATCTAGGGATGATCAGGGAGCTACAGAGGTGATTTCAAATTTAGGCTGGAAAGAGGCATCCCCTTTCTCAGCCTTCACCCACTTTGTGCCCTCAAGAATGTTGTTCGCCTACAACTCACATCGTCCCCGGTTGTCAATGGGCGTTGTAGTCCAACATCTGCAGGGCAGCAGGTTGGTGAAGACTGCCCTATCTGCAAGCAAGTGCACGATAATAAAGGCAAATTCGTAGACAAGTAGTGATAAAGGATGGCCCCCTGCTACTTATTTGATACCCTTAGATCCATTTATAAACCATTCAGAAAATTACAGAGCAGTTTCCAAAATATATTCTCCAGAATTTGCAGGTCAACAGAACCATAAACATTGACCTTAGCATTCCAGCAAGATAAAGCACACCCATAGACTGTTCTACGAACTGAATGTTCCCCATACCTAATTAAACAGCAACCTTAAGAAGGCCCAGAGGTCTGAGTGAAGACGTACACCTTTGGGACCTGACAGAACTGGAGTATGGGCAATGACTAATGGTCTTCCAGAGACATGAAGTTCTACCAACATCCAGTGGTGGCCGATGCCCACTGGAATAAGTCGGGGAGGGAGGCGAACAGATCAACAGAAAATGGAGCCCGAGCCAATGACAGGCAGAGCCGAGTAATTCTGGTTTTGCCCCCATCCTCCTCTCTGTTGAGTTCTGCAAGGAGCAACACTGAGGCTAAGGAGGAGGAAGGTGCTGGCAGTGCCACCCTCTGGCCTGTAAGTGAAGTGGCAGCTGCATTAGGAAAGGCTGAGGTTGGTGGAGCTATGCCACCTTCACCCTAACAGGCCAAGCTCCAGTGCCAACACCGCTTCCCTGAATGTTTACTTTAAAAGAAAAGTATTTAGCCCTTCTGCTTACAGTGATAAGGAACAATAAGCAGGCAGATCGTCCACAATTCATGAGTCAACCTGCTCCCACCTCCCAGCATTACAGATAATTAATGCCAAAGCACCTAGGCACCCAACATCTACCACCACAAGAATCTCGCTAGTCACCCCTCTTTTTATGTACGAGATTGAGAAAGTGAGAAATTTAACAACAGATTGTAATGTGGGGTGTGTGTGTCCAAATCCCAGCAAATGCCACTACAGGGGCTTTTAGCCAGCTTTTCCCTAACAGATTTTCCTTCCCGCCCACCCCCACCCCCAAATGTGGGGGTTACGGACTTAATTAACATTTCCAAACTCACATCCTACTGCTAAGGTGCCTGAGGAGCATACAGCTGTTGTTTTGCAGCACAGGGCAGGGAAGGGTGGGAGGCGAAGCAGAAGCAGAAGCAGCATTTTTCAAATAGCCTAAAAACAGCTGAGAAACAAGAGGTATTTAGACAGTAACGCGATAAAACAGTCTGAAGAGCTGGGCTAAGGAGCTGCACCCAAGCTTTGACAACCCCAGGCAGGTGGCAAGACTGGCAATTTTCATTACACAAAACCCACGCTTAACAACCTTGCGTTCTCAAGTGACTGTCAACTTTTGTCCCAGACTTGACTAGGTCACTGGGCCTCCTTACATAGCTGTGTCTGTCAGCACAGGATTTCAGGGGATTACGCAGCACACATTCCTCGACAGAAAGCATTTTTCAACCAATATAGCCATTTACAGTTACTAAGGATTAGAGCGACAGGGCACCCAAGTATTCGCTGAAAGAGGGAAACTGCCGCTAGCAGCTCCTCCAGCCGTTCAGAGCACAAACATTGCTCCAAATGGTAATGAATCAAGCAGCGACCCTGGAGCATTTTTAGTGTACAAACACAAGCATCATACAACTGTAAGTGCACACTCATCCTGCAAAATAACAGAGGTGTGTGTGTGTGTGTGTGTGTGTGTGTGTGTGTGTGTAGCAGGAGAATTACAATGCTGGACTGAAATGGTGTCTGGGCTCAGCATGAAACTTACTAAATGGCCTTGGCCAGTACCACATTCTCAGCCCAACCTACCTCACAAGGTTGATGTGAGGATAAAATGGGTTAGATAACCCATTGTATACTGGCTTCAGCTTCTTAGAGAAAGGATAGGAAACAAAACATGACAAATAAATAGGAGTGGCTGACTCCTCAGCTCTACATGGTGTCTAGCAGATGCATGGAAGTAAACATATGTCTTATAACAATAACATGTATCTTTTGGTCAGCAAACAGCTTCTCAATAATTTGGTTCTCGGTGGCTGCCCAACCATTGTGCAACGAACTTCCAAAATCTCTTAAAGCTCATGGCAATATAACATCCAGATGTTTTCTAAGGACTTTTCTTGTCTGGGCTGGCATTCAACGGCTAGAAGTTAAGTGGGCATGGGAATTTAATGTTTAAATCAAGGGTAGCCCATGCTTTCCCTAGAGATGTTGTTGGACTGCAACTCATGGTATGCTTGACCGTTAGCCATGCTGACTGAGGAGGATGGGAGATGCAACCCAACAACACCTGGAGGACTTCAGACAAATTTTTATGCCTCAGCCTTGTAAAGGAAAAGTTAACCCTTCTCACCCCCATCAATCAGCTACAACTATTTGAATAATACTCACAGCTTTAATAACTATATCACTGTAAGAAATAAGGGGCCTCTCTTTAAAATCAGCACCTCATAGGAATATAAACTCTCCTCAATGCTATCACTTGCCTTCTTAAAATAGCTAGCATTACCAAAAATCATCCAAGAGTCACATAAAAGGAACTTGTTAACACACTCTTCACTTCTTTACAGTCCTATTAGCTTACCAGGAGACATTGGCTAAAAAAGCCAATGCAATTCTGGGCCTCATCAATAGGAGTATAGCATCTAGATCAAGGGAAGTAATAGTGCCACTGTATTCTGCTCTGGTCAGACCTCACCTGGAGTACTGTGTCCAGTTCTGGGCACCACAGTTCAAGAAGGACACTGACAAACTGGAACGTGTCCAGAGGAGGGCAACCAAAATGGTCAAAGGCCTGGAAATGATGCCTTATGAGGAACGGCTAAGGGAGCTGGGCATGTTTAGCCTGGAGAAGAGGAGGTTAAGGGGTGATATGATAGCCATGTTCAAATATATAAAAGGATGTCACATAGAGGAGGGAGAAAGGCTGTTTTCTGCTGCTCCAGAGAAGCGGACACGGAGCAATGGATCCAAACTACAAGAAAGAAGATTCCACCTAAACATTAGGAAGAACTTCCTGACAGTAAGAGCTGTTCGACAGTGGAATTTGCTGCCAAGGAGTGTGGTGGAGTCTCCTTCTTTGGAGGTCTTTAAGCAGAGGCTTGACAACCATATGTCAGGAGTGCTCTGATGGTGTTTCCTGCTTGGCAGGGGGTTGGACTCGATGGCCCTTGTGGTCTCTTCCAACTCTATGATTCTATGATTCTATGATTCTATGATTCTAAATCAGAAAATGATCTTTCAGATACAATTTACTGCCGCAGGTTAAGACTTGCCGTTGTGAACCCAGTTATAGAAGCGGGTGACTAAACACCCAAGTGAATACAATTGCATGCAACTGTTTCATAATGAATAGCTTATCTATCTATTGGACTTAAAGCCCACCCTATTTAGAGAACTCACATTAGGCAACAGTGTTTGAAAGCTTCCTCTACACTATCCCTGGCCACTGGGTGCCAGTCTGCAAAAGAAAGAAAAAAATCTTACAATATTTCCAGAAGTCGAATCTGCAAAGAAACAGAATTTCGCTGCCAACAATATCTCCCTGTTGTAGGCCCTTACGGACTGATTTGGCACATTTAGGGAGCATTCCCAGCCAATCTTAAACATCATCCTAGTCAAGCTCAAGCCACTAGGCTCCTTGAATGGCACTTGGAGATCAAAAGGGAGCTAATGCCAACATTTGAATCCTGGTGCAAGTTATTCTCAATAATCTTCTCGCATCAGAAGACAGTGGATCAGTGTCTTTTGCATCACCTGAACCCTGTGAATGGTAGTCCTGCAAAATGTTTAATACAGCGGGCTAGCCTCAAATCTATGAAGGTACAACATGACGGCCACTAGGTGTGCACCACTATGCAAAAGCAAATCTTCTATCCATGAAGCTGGTAGAAACCACTTCTGGCAAAACCGGGAGGAGGAGGACTGTAGCTCAGTGGTTAAGAGCACCTAATCTACATGCAGCAGGTACCAGGTTCAAGCCCCGGCATCTCCAAGTAGGACTTGGGGAAACTTCTGCATGAAAGCCCGGTGCACCACTGCCAGTCAGTGCAGACAATACTGAACTAGATTAACCAGGGGTCTGACTCAGTACAAGGCAGCTTCCCATGTTCCAGCACCAACACCTGGAACCCAGGCACCTCCCAAGGCTACAAAACTGAGTGACCAGAAGGGACAAACCCAGAAGCATTGGGAATTCCAGTCCCCTCCCAGTTGCAATGCCTGCCAGTCATTACCGTGGCCACCAACTCTGACAGCTTTAAAATAGGACTAGACAAATATATGCAGGAGGTGGCTATCAATGGCTACTGGGTCATGATCCTCCCTCAACTGTCATCAGGCTGCAGGGGAGAAAGAGAGAGATGGGACCACAGAGCCTCTCCATTGTCAGGATGCATTAAATAAGTAAAATACATGGAAACATGAGCAGAGCAAACTATGTTTATACTCTGAAACTATGTCCATTAACTTCAATGGGTTGACTCTGAGCAGAACTAGTGTTGGACACAACCCGGCCTTCTGAATGTGAGCAGCAGCGGCTGAGGAATAACTTGCAAAACCTTCTAAGCGATCCCTGAATTGGGCAATGTGCACAATGCAAGGATATTATGTATCCTTAAAGTGCTCATCTCAAAACACTAGTCCACAGTCTGCTCCGGCAGACGATGGATTTAGAGGACCTGAGAGAGTAAACAGTGCGGACACCAACATATCCCAGCCAGCTGTCTGCCACAAGTTAATTTAGCAACCTGTTTACAGCTGGGGAGAAAGTCTATCCCAAACACACATGCCAACTTGGCAAGGGCTTAATGAAAATCCTGCAGGGTCAAATGGAGTTCTGATGGCGGGTAATAAATAACTTGTCAGCCCGCCCCCACGTACATGTGCCATTTGGAAGCCGTGAGAGGTATGCAGAGGGAGCCCACCATCTTCGATTCCTCGGGATGCTGTTAGCCAGGCATCTGACTAACAAAATGAAGCTGGATAACTGGAATAGTTTTCACCCTATTAAAACTATCCAATACAGTGAAGTCTCGTGCCTGCTTTTTTGCCGCATGGCCCCGGAAGAGCCATGGATCGAACGGATGAACTGGCAAAGATGCAGGGAGAGGATAAGCCCGCACCATGAGGATAATATTCACCTGTACTACGGGAGATTACTAGTAGCCTAGTAGCTACTAGGATGTAGCATTCAGGACTTCTTGGTTTGCAAAAAGGAAAATTAAGAGGTGGCATGACGGAAGTTTATAAAATTATGCATGGCCTGGGAAAAGTTGAAAGAGAAACGTTTTTCTCACTTACATCACACTAGAACTCATGGATAACTGATGATGCTAAAAGATTCAGGACAGATAAAAGAAAACACTTCTTCATGCAGTGCATAGTTAAACTATGGAAGTCACCCCCCACAGGAGACAGGCAGGGCCACCAACTTGGATGGCTTTAAAGGAGAATTACACCTATTCATGGAGGCTTCCATGGTTGGAGGCAATACTGCTTCTGAATACAGTAAGCCCCCAACTTACGCACATTTAACTTGTGCACACTGAGCTTTATACACGTGACAAAGGGGGTAGAAAGGGGGCTGGGTATTGGGGGGAAATGACTTGGGCAATCCAATGCCCCATTGAACCCAGTGGGTTTTGACTATACATGATTTTGGCTTTAGGCTTGATCCCCAGAACATAACTCCCACTCAAGTTGTGAGCTTACTGTACCAGTTGCAGGAAACCACAGGAGTGCCCTTGCACTCAAGTCCAGCTTGCAATTTCCCACAGGTATCTGGTTGAGCTGTGAGAACAGGATGATGGATAAGATGGACCATTGATCTGATCCAGCAGGCTCTTCTTATGCTTTATGAGGGCTACTGCCCTCATATCCTGCTTGTGGGATTGTCATGCACATAGGACTGACCATGGTGGGGACTGGGATGCTGGGATAGATGGGCCTTTGATCTGATCCAGCAGAGCTCTTATGTTCTAGGGAGAGTGGCTCTATGCATGCCATCATCTATGATTCTATTATTCTTTTATTTACTGAACCAGCTAACAGTTATTTCCACACCTGGGTAGTTATTACAGTTGAGGAAAAACATCTGACGGGCTCTAATGCAATACGGGAGGAAAATATCCTTCACAAACTAGCCCTTCAATTCACTCAGTAAGAAAAACAGAAAGGTGTTCTCTCTCTCTCTCTCTTCCTTTGATTTTGGAACATTTCCACATTTGGGGAATCAGGGACAGTCCAGAGCAGAGACTCCACAACAAACCTTCACTTCACACATCCGTCTGTCTGACTGCATATTTGGAGATGGAAATAAGCTTTGCCCGAGATTAGGTAAGGAAGCGACCCTGTATTTTGTGACATGTGTTAAGAGGGGGGCGAGGTTCACCATGTGCATCTCAAGCTACTGTGCCATATTAAAAATATCAGTGGGAGAATAATTCCAATTCTAATTTGTATATTGCTTTGAAGTGTCCATATGCATCAATCACCTCAATAGTCCTTACTTGTGAGGTAGCTTAGTAACATGCAAATAAATGCAAAACAAAAGTAAAAAAATGTGGCTGAGATACTGGTTTAATTAAACTAGTGGTGGTGAACAAGGAAACAAAGACTTCATGGCATCAGTCCTCAGGAGAGCTGGAGATAATGTTTATGATTCCTTATATACCCAAGATTATGTGACTAAAATCTGAGACTTGTTACTTTTCTTTGTTATATTCTCCTGCAAAGAATATTAAAGGAACCTTTCCTTAATCATGCAGCCTCACTTTTTTTTAAAAAAAGGTCCCACAAGTACAACATAGCAGCACACTGCAGCTTTAAGAGCTTCAGGCTATTTTAGGGGCTAGGATGTAGACAGTAACATTTGATATCTTACAAGAGCAGCCCCAATTTCACACTTACGTGGAACTCTGTAGTATTGAGAATGTGACGGCCATCCGGACTCCAGCAAGAAGCCACGAGTCCCGCTGAGCCTTCATCGATCTTGCAGTGCCAATCAGGCTGCTCCAAGGACCAGACCTAAGGCAAGGGAGGAAGAACAGTCAAGTCAGTGCTAACTTGAACAAGGCACCCAAAGCCCTACCAGCTTCCTCTCAAGAATCACTCTTCAACAGAAAAAGACAAGCCCACCAGCAAAAGACCATGAAAGACTGGCGCTGGATCCCACTACAGAGGTAAGCCTTTTCTTCTTCTTTACATCCAGTTAGATCCACAAAACTATTCCAAAAAAGCATCTGTAAAGATCAAGAGGTTTGTTGTGGCACAGGATTGTATAGGCCTCCAGTAAAGATGGTGGCTGTCTTTAAGAGATCTGGACCACAATATATTTGTTTGACTTTAAAGATGCCACAGAGCTCTGATATGATTAAAGACCCACCACACATTAAAATTTCAAAAAATTGAAAGGGTTTGCTTAAATTATTTTTTGTTTATTGAATTTACATACTGCCCTATTTATATGGTGCTTTTCAGATGCAAAGTGCTTCACAACAGGCTCACACTTATCAAGTTGCCTGTGGCAAGCATGAATCACCTCCAGGTGACCAGGCAGGGAAATTTTATAACTGGTCTTTCATTAAGAATGATGTTGTTTCACTAAGTATATGTGAGCCATTAAAATAAAATGTATGGGCTAGGAAGTTTTGTGAAATTACTTTCAAGTCTGCTTTGCTAAGCATCACCTTGATGGTCCACCACTGCTATTCCCAGTTTGTAAATGATGATACCAAGCAAGGCTAGAAATCAGCTGGATCCTTAACCTAGCTGCCCAGCCCAGTCATTGTCCACAGGAATGACAGCAGCTGTTTCTTTCTGAAACTAGCGAAACCCTAAGGCTACTTAAAAACCACAATTTTGCATCAGGGGACGTAGTTTGTTTGTTTCTGGAAAAGACATGCTCTTTTCAACCTTTTCAATCTAGCTCTGTACTGTGTTATAGTGACTGGGAGCAGCAATACAGGATTTCAGGGAGAAGCCTCCCTCAGCCCTACCTGGAGATGTCAGTGGTTGGACTTGGGATCTTCTGCATACAAAACAGAGATGCTCTGCCACTGAGATATGGTCCTTCCCCTAAACATTAAAAATTCTAGTCCTCATGTTTCTGAATAAAGACCTGATATTAATAGGAAGCTGCTTTAAACAAGGTCAGGCCAATGGTACAACCACACTAGCTGGTAGAGGCTTTCCATGGTTTCAAGAAGACTCTCCCATCCCTATCTAAAGATGCCAGTTTGAACTTGGGGGCATTCTGTAGGTAAAGTGCATTTGTTTCCTCAGCACCTATATTAAATACTTGCTGCTTAACACCATCAGTTTAGAAACTGGCAAGTTCCAGAAAAGAAAGCATATTGCATGGGTGCCCACCTGCACAATTCCACGCTTGTACATTGCACATAATATAAAAAGAGAATCTGAAGACCACTCAATGTGCTGGATTTGGTCTAGGCAGGTGAAGAGCTGCAGAATTTGGAGAGTGTTTACATCACGAACCACCAAACGATACTGGACACCGGAGGCCTGAATAGAACAAAAAATGAATAACTTAGCTGTGCCGTTTTAGCTGAATGACAGGGGGCAAAATTATTTCAGATGTGATTCCTAAATCCTCTAGTATTAGAGACAGGAGAAACCATCAGAAAGCCTGTAGAATAAAATGAAAGCTCTACAAAATATAGACTGATGACATACCGCAGGCCTGTCATGCAGTAAAAATAACTGATTTGTCAATTGCCAATTAATATATTAAATGTACCTGTTTTACAAATTTCAATATAGGTGCTTATTTGATATCAAATGAGGTGTAAGAAAAATATCTTAGGTTTTAATAGGAGCTGCCACTCCTACCACAGGGACTGCAAAAGAAAGGCAATCTTTCATACTTTCTTTTGCATTCCCTAGTTTGTAACACAGCAAAACTACACATACACAAAGATTTTTAGACCCACCGACAGATTTTCTGATGAGCTTCAGTAACTACAAGCCCTGAAATTTAGAGTCCGCTCCCAAACCTTTGTAGGGTTTTGTAGTCATTTAGCAGGGTTTAGTAGGGTGAAACACACATTTTGTAGGGCCCCTCAAACCAGAGGACATAGGTATCCCCCAGAAAGCCAACTTGGTCTGGTTCATAGTTAATGAAGCTCTCCTGATGGCTTCAGTGGAAGTCTCTACCCCCATACACATAGCTTGGTTCACACGCAACTTCAGCCAACAACAAAGAAACTATCCTTAGGCCTATGCAGGACAACCAATGAAATAAATGCGGCGGCTTCTCCAACTGTAACTCATCACACAAGCTTCAGTTGCTGAAGCTCCCTTTTCTACGTAACTATTACAGGTGCAGAAGCCCCCTCCTCTTTTATATCTGAACAGCTTCGGTTTATGCACTCCTCCCCCTCTTGAACTTCCTCGTCCTTGGCAAACCATTGTTTGTCATTTCATCTGAACAAGGCAAACTATGGTTTGCTACAAAAGAAGTGGTGCAAGTGGGGGAGAGAAGAACCCAAAATTGTTCATTTAAACCAAACTGGGGGGTATTGGAATAGATCAGGAGGGTTGACACTCCAAGAAGCAATGCACAGGACTGCAGCTCTAAACAGCTACACCAGTTCTGCATACTAATGTCGCAGTAAACATGCACTTCTGCAGATATACAATAAGGAACAGATTTCACATCATCATAATCCAGGTTGTTAGAACTACTAACCAAACATAGTAATAAAAGCTTATAAATTAAAAGACAAGACACATTAAGTAGGAAAGAGAAGGGGGCCCAGAGGTGGCGCTGATTAAAATGATTGTTATTTAAAATCACAGCCAATTTATACTTTGATATTACTATGCACATCTTCTGGGAAGAGATTTCCTGGTCTCATTTAAAAACAGTTAAGAATTTAATGGGCAAATGTCATACAAGGTTGCTAACGAGGTGGAAAGGCTCATTTTATGGATGCTGCTCTCCTCAGCAGAAATCAGATACTGTTTGGCTAAGGCTGTCCCAACATAAAACTGAGTTAGAACATGAAAATCATGTGTATTATCATCAAATATCAAAGCCACCCCTGGTCCCCACATCTCCCATCCTTCCCTGAATCCACATTCAACCCCCCTTGTCTGCCCACTCTTAGTCCTTGCCCCCCACCAACCCATTATCTGTAAAATAGATACACACAGGCACACCACAAGGCTAAGCTCACCAAGCATTTTCCATCCGGAGAGAACCTGCACAACTGACTGGAGAGTTTAAATACCTCGGAGAAATTCATGTTGACCAACTAACAAGGGAGAAGGGGAGCCTAGCGAATGAGCAGGACCAAATCTAGTCTCCCAAGGGCGGAAGGCCTGTTCCTCTGGCTTGTGGTAGAGGCTATGGAACAGGGAGTTTTCACATTGCAGTTTTGCTCCAAGCAGAGAGCAACGGTTCTGTGTAAGGTCTGTCCTAGGAAGCGGAGTGGAGGAGATATCCAGCAGATACTGGGAAAGATGCCATTTCCCATAAAGAAATGTGTATGCGTGTGGGTGAAGGGGCGATATGAACTAGCCCAGCTTTGGGAAATATATAATATAGAGTTATCCAGAATAGTAGAGACTTGCCCACAGGATGCTGTATTTTGAGAAGTCTCAGAAAGTAGGGGAGGGGGACACATACAGAGGGAAAGAAATTTTCAAAATAAAAACACAGCCTCAAATGAGGTGCTGCCCATCAATGTCTAGGAGATGGAGGGGGGGTGAGAATTTGAGTAAGAGGAGGGAGGACACCAAGGAAGGAGTGGATGACACCGATGCCAAAAAAACCACAACCTGGCAGATATATAATATATATCATTATCCCCAATAGAAGAAAACAGGGGAGAGGTCCTCCTCAAAACTGTTGAATGCAACTCTTAAGGTCTCAAGGGATGCCAAAGAACTGTCCCCTGAAGAAAAGGAAGGAGGTACAAACGACCCCTAACCCACGCAAAAAAAGGAATATAGAAAAACGGGGTAGGGCGGGAATACACCTCAGAAGAAAAGATATCGCCCCTTTCAAGGGAATAATAAGTTTCAAGGGAATAATTTGCCCCCCAGAAAGAAAAAAGGGGAGGAAGAGAGGAAAGGACCCCAGCCTCAAAACACAAGTAGGGTGTCTGACCCACACACTTAGGAAATTACCCACAATTTAAAAAAGGGGGGGAGGTTTGGTCTTTGAAGTGAGGAAGAAACTGGGACGCCCCCCCCAAAAAGAGAATAATAAAGGAAGAGAGGTGACCCACCCACCCAGCCACCCTTCTGAGCAAAGGGGGCTGATTTGTAAGGCGCCCCCGCTGCCCCCTCACTGACAGAGGGGGTAAGACCACCACCCAAAAAAAGAGCCCCCCGCCTCTCTCTCTCTCTCTGCGGGGTGGGCGGTGGAATGGGGTGGGGGAGGGGAAGGCGCAGCTGCCGAAGCGAAGAGGCGGCCTCGCGCCCGCTTCAAAGCCGCCCGCCAATCAACCGGCTCTTCCCGGGCCGGAAACAGTTATCCGCTCCCTTCCGGAAAAGGCATGGGGTGGGGAGGAGGCCGCGAGGCACGCTGGGAGGTGTAGTTCTGCAGGGTGCGCGGACTCTCGAGCTAGGAAGCAAGCTAGGAAAGGTCGCCGAGGAGTTGTCAGCTGGCCGGCTTGCAGAGAAGGGGACGCTGCTTTTATTGTTTGGTGATAATGAAGATTCCACTAGGCCAGTAGGGGAGATTAGATAGATAGATAGATAGATAGATAGATAGATAGATAGATAGATAGATGATGATAGATAGATAGATGTGTGTGTATATGTATATATGAATATTATATATATATATATATATATATATATATATATATATATTATTATATTTAGATATAGATATATATCTCTGTGTTCAAGCAAATAAAACAAAAGTCATGTAGAAAGCAGTTTACTGGTTAGACTCACAGGGGGTCAGCAATCTTTTTCAGCAGGGGGCCAGTCCACTGTCCCTCAGACCTTGTGGAGGGCAGGACTATATTTTTTTTTTGGGGGGGGGGAATAAATGAATTCCTATGCCCCACAAATAACCCAGAGATGTAATTTAAATAAAAGCACACATTCTACTCATGTAAAAACACACTGATTCCCGGACCATCTGCGGGCCAGATTTTGAAGGCGATTGTGCCGGATCCGGCCCCGGGGCCTTAGTTTGCCTACCCATGGATTAGAGAATGAGATCCAGGAGAGAGACCAGGCTTCAAATCACCCCACCCAGGCATGAAACTCACTGGGTGCTATGGGGTGGGGGTGGGATGGGCAGTCTCTGCTTCTTAGCCTAGCCCAGGGTTTTGCAACCTTTAAGACAAAAAGAGCCACTTGGACCTGTTTCCAAAGAAAAAAACAACTGGGAGCCGCAAACTCGTCATTATAAAATACTTTTTTTGTCACTTTTTTATTATTTTCTTTGTTTGGACCCCTCAGAATTACTCCTCCTCATAGAAATAAACGTTAAATTAAACAAGTTACCTTTTTGTGTGTGTTGTAGTTCTTCACTCCCCTTCAAACAGTGACCAGCGTACATGCCCCCTTTCAATGCAGTGACCAGCATACATGCCCTTACAATGTACGGGCGGGCGGGTAGGTGACGTTGGGACGGTGCATGACTAATGCACGCACCGCCCCATGCGACGTACAGCAGTACAGCGCCTGCCACAGTGAGGGAGTGTCGGGGCCGCAACAATGCGCCTCCTCCCCTCGCTAGTATCTGCCCCGGAGCCGCAGCAAAGGTGTAAAAGAGCCACATGCGGCTCTGGAGCCGCGGGTTGCAGACCCCTGGCCTAGCCCATTTGCAGAGTTTTATGATTAAACCACAAAATTATGGTGTGTGGGATTTCGGATACAGTTTTGATACAATGGTGAAAGACTCTCTTTCGGTTCCAGCATGGGGGCCAACACGCTCAGGAAAGTTACCAGCTCGCTCAGGTTTGCGCAACTCATACTCTGCACTCACCTGTCTTTCTCATTTGCGGAGGAAAGAGCAACTAAGAGAAGG